ACGAACGGCTTTGACCTAACCTAACCTAAAACCAGATTTTGAAAATCTCGCCAAAGGCATCTTTTGAATTTTCTTTTATATTTATCTTACGTACAATAGAATAATAATAAAATTAATGTTTTTCATTTCTAATAATTTTATTTAAAAATAAAATTTTTGTTTTTCTTGTTCTTTTTTTGTGGCTCTTTGTAGCATTTAGAACTTAGATGTGGCTCTTTTCGGCCTCGGCCTTGCCCACCCCTGCTATATACATTTTCATACAAGGCAGGATTAAACAGTATTAAAAATATGCTGCAGAAACACAACAGCAAACAACAGCTGAGCTAAGAAGCAATGGCATGCTATAACAATATGTTTGAGATAGAATGGCATGGCACAGCAATGCATGAAATTTTTGAAAATTACATTTTAATAGATACGCTGGGAAGAAGTTAGGAAAATGTTTAAATTTATATTTTGTTGTTACCTACTTCACCGATTTGAAATCTGAAAACTATACCTTTCATGAGCATGAAATGGTATTATAACTTTGGTCCGATATTTGTAAGTACCAGAATAGATAGAAGAAGAGATAGACTCATGAAAATGTGTACTTACATATGTATGTGACCAGAACATCGAGCTGAGCCGACTTATATGGCATATGGCAACCGAGTTGGGTGGCCACTGGCTGAAATGGTTTTACAGATGGCAACTGCAAGCTGGCAACTGAGTTGCTATATTGGCAACTGCATTTTTGTGGTCGCTGCGGTAATAATCGAAAATTGTATACCTAAATATAAGGTAAACTTCAAAGCGACGCCCATGGAAACTACTACGAAAGATTTTCGCCGCCCTTTTTCGAAATTTTATTTTCAGTGAAAGAAATACTTATAAGGATTAACCATTATACAATCATTTTTAAAAGCAAGTTTCAGTTCTTCTTATCCGCCATGTTAGCTATCTGACAGAAAACGTGTTTCGTATTTTTTGCTGTACCAACTTTTCAAAAAAAAAAATCCAACTTTTGACGTTGGAAAAATAAAACAAAGGAAAGCCAAGCAAATAATTAGAGAAAATTTCTAATTATATTCAACAATTTTATTGAGCTCTAGGCCGTTTTTTAATTAAAAACTATCGTTGACAAGCAACAATAATTTTTATTTGTTTGAAAAAATGGTAGAAGTGATAGCTGTTTCCGAAATCACCACATTTCGCCACCAGACTTCTTTCAGAAAGATTTGAACCGACGATCTTACTGACTCAGCCAGTTGCCTACGCACTGTGCAAAGTTTGCCTAGTAAATTATGATTGCTCGTTTTCCACTTTTTCATTTTGTTAATAGGGCTTCCACGCACGAGGCGATTTTTCAGGCAACAAAAGTTGAATGAGAAGTTGAAAGTGAAAAAGTTGCCATCCCTATTCAGACGAGGCGATTTTCGATTCAACACGAATTGTTGTTTACATTATTTAAAATGAGTTTAAATCGCAAAATTTTATCAATTGGCGTAAATTTGGTAAGCCAAGCGTTGGTAAAAGTGCTTATAGCGAAGCTGAAAGATAAACTAAAAGTAAAAAAGCGAATTGGGGGCATCTGATAACTTATACCGGGAGTTGGCAATTGAAGATGTTAATTATTTTAAGGAATGCTTGGGGATGAACCCTGCACAATTCGAATATTTGCTTGCAAAAGTGGCGCCGCTTATTCAAAAGCAGGACACAATAATGCGTGAGGCACTTACGCCTCGAATAAAGCTACAAATAGCATTGAAGTTTTTGGCCACAGGCGACAACTATTTAAGCCTGTCAGAGAGCTTTCGAGTTCCAAAGTCAACTATCTCTGAGCTCCTAAAAGAAGTACTTGATAGCATTTATGCTATTCTGCAAGAATATATTCAGGTAAATATAAGCAGGTTTAGTTTTACGGTAATCGGTGGAAGTGAAGCAGTGCGACTAGGGCCGGCAGTAGAAAATCTGGGGTGGGTAGTAAATATGTCCTTGGTATGATGGACTATTGAAACTTTTTGCATAAACATTTAGACATGGTTGGTTGGTGGTTCATTGAAGTGGCGAATTTAACAACTACCCTAATTTAAAGTGATAAAAAGTCGAAAACTGGGTTAGTGTCACTTATGTCTGTTACATACATCGCAGTAGCAGGGTTTTCCTAAAAGCCTCGCAGTTTTAGTCCTACATAGTGTTGGAAAATCACAGAGCAGATGCTCCACCATTTATTCTGCATCTGGTGGATTACAGCTACGACAAGAAGTGTTGTGTTGCAGTGCTAGTCTTGCAGCATGGATTCTCACGGCCCAGTGCCATGTGTAAACATCGACTCCATGCATATAACACGGTGTCGGTAACGTCGATAATGATTTTAATCGGAGATTAGAGTCAACCAGGCTTTGAGCAAATGTCCCTTAGGCCCGTTTTCACCATCTCTGGTCCACCCTAATCTCAAGTTAAACATCGCTATCTACGTTACCTACTCCATTCAAATAACTTTGAGTCGCTAATATCGATAACAATGTTTAACTGGGGATTAGTGTTAACCAGGCTGAATATTTTGGTTTCCGTTTCACTGAATTCTCATCATCTTCCAAATAAAAGAATTACACCCTTTATTTCATCTTTTATACTAAAAAAATTTTTATTAATTAATTAATTTATAAAAGAAATACATATTTTTATTAAATATTTACAGTCAGTGTGAAAAATATAAATACCCTGCCGTTTTGACGATTTTCTTTATATATATGTTCCATACCAGTTTTGGTTAGTTTTTTTTATGAAAATATAGTTCAGTCAACAACAAAAACCATTAGGATCAATTTTTAAACTTCATATAGAACTCGGGGAAAATTAAAGAAATAAAAAAATTTCCCCGAGTTCTATATGAAATTTAAAAATTGATCCTAATGGTTTTTGCTGTTGACTGAACTATATTTTCATAAAAAAAAACTAACCAAAACTGGTATGGAACATATACAGATGCGTTCAACTAATTAACAGCGAAATTCAAAACGATATTGCTTGGAAATTATGTTTATTTATTTATTTTTAATAATTTTCATTTAAAACATAATTCAATCTATATCAGAAACCACAATAAAAAAAGTTGCAAAGTTTGCACAAATTGCAAAAAAATGAATCAAACTTAAAAAACTTTTCATCAAAATTTAAACATTTTTAATTAAATTACTAAATTTTGGAGTATGCAGTTTTGTAGCCCATTCAATTCTAGTATAATAAAGAGCAAGTTTCAAGTCGCTAAAAATTACCGTTGATTTTTTAGAATTTTTTTTGGGGAGGGTGTTGCGCATTTTCTTCCATATAACACATTATCAAAATTTTTTTTTATATGGAAAAAATCCGCAACACCCTCGACAAAAAAAATTCTAAAAAATCAACTGCAAGTCCTAGGTACTTCAAACTAAAATTTAATGGGCTACAAAACTGCATACCCAAAATTTAGTAATTACTTTAATTAAAAATTTTTAAATTTTGATGCAAATTTTTTGAAGTTTGATTCATTTTTTTGCAATTTGTGCAAGCTTTGAAACTTTTGTTATTGTGGTTTCTGTTATAGATTGAATTATATTTTAAATGAAAATTATTAAAAATAAATAAATAAACATAATTTCCAAGCAATATCGTTTTGAATTTCGTTGTTAATTAGTTGAACGCATCTGTATATAAAGAAAATCGTCAAAACGTCAGGGTATTAATATTTTTCACGCTGACTGTATATATTAATATTAAAAAAAAAAACACTTTCAGAAGTATTCGTCTTCTTGTTGCTCAAGCGTTTCTACTTCTATTGTATCTTGTATGAAGAAACTGTCGTCAATAAACGAATCGTCTTCATAGACATCCTGTGTTACGCCAGAGCTTTGTGCCGAATATGTTGAATATTTTCCCGATTCCGAGCTCTCTGGTCGGAAATTACCCACTGCTGCAGCTCTCAATATTTTCAGGCGACGTTGGGACAAATAATTATTTACAAAAGCCTGCGAAGAAATCGCTTCTTCCAGAGGCATACTTCGCAGCTGGTTTGCCACGTGACTCCCGAATACCTCAAACTCGTCCGGTTCTTTCGTATGCGATATGTTTTCCAATTTTGTCACCGCCTCCAAAATTGGTTCAACATCCTGCGGCCGGTGTTTTGCCTGTGTGGTCCTTTTCGCTCTTTTAGCCTGGGAGGAGGAAGTCTGTGAACCCGATGGTTCATCATCGAAAAATGACGCATCACTTTCCCTGGCGTCCATCTGCAATAAAAAAGAAAAATTGAAAGATACTTATATATACTTATATTTTTTTTTTTTTATTTCAGGTTCCTAATACAACAGAGGAATAGTTAGAGGTGCAAAGGGATTTCAACGATAAGTGGCAGTTCCCTTTCTATTGTGGCGCTATTGACGGGAACCACGTTGTAATAGATAACCCACCGCATGGAGCATCGGATTACTATAACTACAAGGGTACTTACAGCGTAAGTGCTATTATATTACATTTACATTGGACCAAAATGCGTGATTTGAAATCAGTCATTTGAAGGTGTTTACACTGCTTGACCCGCATTTGCTTTGACTTCTCATCAAATGAAAAGGGAAGACAAAAACAAAATGTATGTAAACAAACACTACATTTATTATATTGTTAACGCTTTTTGGACACAAAAAGGCAATTATTCTTTGATTAAACTAAAAATGTGTAAAGCTCTTGTATAAATTAACAATTTTTACACACAAATTTCAAAGATTTATTTATTTCGTTGTGTTTGTTTTGTGTTTGAAAAATTCCAAATGTCAAAGACAAACCAAAGCTTTTGTGGAACTTTTGTTTCTGAGTGCGTTCAATAAAATAGTACGGCAATTGGAACGCATTTGTTTCGTGATTTTGTGTAAATGCGTCGAAATGCGTCATTCTGGAAATGTGAATTTGTATGGAGAAATGCGTGATTTGGCCTCGCATTTGAGGTTTCTCGCCCAAATGACGCATTTGGGCTCAATGTAAATGTAATATTATTGTCGGTACGAATGGGCGCATGAATGACGCAAGCATTTTAAAAAAGTCCCGATTTTATAAAGAACTGCAGGAGGATGAGTTGGGATTACCAACTAAGGGTGTCTTCGTTGGCGATGACGCGTTCCCCTTAACAACGAGGATCATGAAGCCGTATTCCAGGCATGATGCATTGCCTCACAAAGAAAAAATTTTCAATTACCGGCTGTCGAGAGCTAGACGAATTATTGAAAATGCCTTTGGGATAATGGCTTCTAGAAATAGAATTTTTCGAAAGCCTATATCTGTGTCCCTAGACAAAACCGACAGCATAATTAAAACGGCATGCGCTCTCCATAATTGGCTCCGAACAACCAATTTAAATGAAACTGGCTTAGTCGATCAGGAAGACATAAACACAGGAGCAGTTCACCAAGGAATTTGGAGAAGCATTCCTTCAGGGGGCTTAGCAGAGCTAACCACGCAATTGTCTTCAAACAACTACTCGAGAAGTGCAAAGGAACTTCGCGATAAATTCGCAAACTATTTTGTAGGCTCAGGAGCTGTTCCTTGGCAAGACAAAATGGTTTCTTAAGCCATTAAGCTTTCAATTTAAGCTACAATTTCAATTTAAGCTACAATTTAATGGGCTATAAATCTGCATATCAACAATTTTTCTACCAATTCTTAATAAACTGTTCTTTTGTTTGTTAGTTTTCTACAAAATTGTAAATTTAAACTAATATGGTTTTTGATAGTAAATGAGCCGTATTAAAAAAAATATCAACATTAAAGAAACAAAAGAAAAGTGGTCACAATGTCGTGTCCCTATTATTTTTCACATGACTAAATCTAAATTTACTCACTGTACATACTTGCATTAAAAATTGAAACTGGAAAACTAAATATTTAGTTTAATTTTCATAAGTTGATAAAATTCACGAAGAGTATCATTACTTTCTAACCAAGCTTCGAATATTTATGCTTAAGCGCATGAATCAAAATATAAATCAATGCTTAGTTGAAACTCGGCACAATTTTTCTTTAAAAGCTCCACATGTAAATGTGTTGTAATCTTTGGCGACGGTGCAGGGTTCTCATGTCAAATGTCAAAGCGAAGTTACTATATGTAAAACCATGATGCAATAATGAAAGTTGTTATACGTTGGTTTTGCATTTATTAGATCGTTTCGTTAGTGTTTTCCTGGGCGACCTGTGCTGGTATTGTGATTAAGAGCTAATACACGTAAGTTACAACATATTATTTTGACTTTATTGATGAACCATTCCATTTGCAGCATCCTCTGGTGAACTGCAGCTGCGGTCGAATTTGATTGTGTGCATCATCCTGCAGAGACTACTATGGCGACTCCAATCGGGACCAAAATTTATATGTGATATATTCACCTACGGTAGTATCGATTTTGGGTATGAGTCTCTATATAGGTATCTGAACTTTGGCCCCTCTGCGACACGTCTTAACCGTCTCCAATCGGGACCAAAATTTGTATGTGATATCTGTGACCGTGGTGTTACCGATTGAAGGGGTGAACTGAAAAAAATCACTCATTTGATTTTAAGGACCAGCCTAATGTACATACATATCACATATATTAACATAGATATGTATACAAAATTAATGATGTGTTCATAAATTTACCATTAATATAATATACATTGATATATAATATAATCTGAATATAATATATATCTCAATATAATCTGAATATAGCGGTCAAATCTTTTTTCTCCAAATTTTTAAACTGTATCGCTCTTTGGCCTAGATTTTATTGAAAATAGCATATAAAGAAAATATGTATAGGCAAAAAAACCATGAATTTTTAAAATTTTTAGAAAAGAATTTGGCCTCTATACTCCTATCATATTTTCTTGTACTTCCAAAATACAATATTGAGCTAAGGTAGTTCGAATTTTAGCTGTCACAACATAAAACACCTTTCATTATTGCATCATGATATAAAACAACAAAATAAGTATAAATAAGCTTCAACTGCATATACAGTGTAATAATAAAACTAGCAACTAGGCTGCACATTTGTTGTGAAAACCGGGGGCGTTACGAACTGGCGTACCGTACTGATAAGTTGGAACAGGCGCAACAGGAAGTGGAAGAGGTTTGCAAGAAAACCTTTAGTATAACTTAATTCTAGTGTGTATTTTCTAATTTGCAGTGCCAAATGAAACTTCAGCGATGCCAACAGCAGTTCCTGCTTTTTGTTTTGGTGAAATTACGTTATTTAATGAAAACCTAATAATTAAAGCAAAATCAATGCCTGTCTTCAGATACATATTTGGATCTTGTGCATACGCTCTTGCATTTGCATATTCTTTGCATTTTTAAAATCACAACAATAAAATGCACACGGTTTGCATGGCAGTAAGCATTAAATTTGCAAATGCAATTCCACCTGCAAATCGAAGTCCATTTCCACAACATCCTGGACAGCCCTACTATGTTTATTAATCCCACTGGGCGATACTAGTTTTAATAAAAAATCTAAGCAGGGTGTTGAATTATTTAAGTAAAGTTGTCTTTTAACCGCTGACCTCTTCCATTCTCAAAGGTATTCCACATTTCTTGCGCATATAACTCCGGCTATGCCGATCACAGTGTATTTGCGTAGAACTCGTTGAATTTATTAATTAATTACTGACTGAAAGTTATAAAGTTAAGTTTTAAAATAAAGTTTGGACCCTTGACTACAAGTGCGTGTATATTTTTTTTGGATCGGATCAGCCATTCGGAAACAATAGCCCGAAATCATTGGGCAAATAGCTAAGCAGTACCCGTCAACCAGCCACATTGTATTTGCGTAGAACTCGTTGAATTTATTAATTAATTACTGACTGAAAATGAATGGCTATTTATGACATGCAACGCCCGTACCGCAGGAAATGCCCATATATTGAAATATATTTAAAAATACTTCATGGGCGTAGCCAGGTAGGGGCAGGGGGGCGCTCGAGCCGCCCCCCCTAACTTTCAAATTTTCCTTATATATATATATAATAGTACCTNAATGCCAGCTTAATAGGGTCGAGCCCCCCCTAAATTTCATTCTGGCTACGCCGATGAAATACTTACCATATTAGTTTTTGAGGGCCTTCCTTCGGCAACTGGCTTCAAAAATCGGTCCGCCACCTCGAACCATGACAGCCTTGGGACATATATGTCGTCCGTACCAGCCCCACTCTTTTTGGATGATGCCACTTTAGCTGCTTCCCTGGTGAACATCGTACGCAAACTTTTAATTTTGCCCTTTAGCTCCTCCGTAGACAGGGTGAGCGACAACTCCTGCTTTATGGCATTCAAAGCTGATGTCCGAAATGAATTGTTTTTGTACAATTTATTTTGCGGACCCCACAAACATGGGTGCTTTTCCTACACCTCCAAAAACGAAATTACATTAATTTTATTCATTTTAAATTATAGTATTTTTCCCAAGTTTAATAAAACTACTTTTACCAAGCCACGCCAGAATACAATTTCAAAATGGTGATATGTATAAATAATGTAAACAAACACAGGGTTGCAAGGAAAATAAGTTGAACGAGCTCAAAGTTGGCTGGCGACCAACTTTGTTGAAAGCGTTTAGTTGAAAGGCCGTTCGGACGAGGCGATTTTTGCTTTCACCTAAAAGTTGCCTGAAAAATCGCCTCGTGCGAATGCCCTATAAGCCAACACAATCAAGCGCAGCTATTCCGCTGCAATACACTTGATNACAATCAAGCGCAGCTATTCCGCTGCAATTCACTTGATCATGTGGTTGTTGGTTTTGTTGGTTTTTGTTAATAATTATATTTTTGAAAGTTTAACTTTTAGGTGTGCTCGTCCTTAAGTTATTTGTATTTTTGTTATTTTATAGCCTTATAACAATTATATTCAACAATTTTATTGAGCTCCAGGCCGTTTTTGAATGAAAAACTATCGTGGACAAGCAAATATAATTTTTATTTTTTTGAAAAAATGGTAGAAGTGATAGATATTTCGGAAATCACCAATTTCCTCATCAGATTTCTTTCAGTAGGATTCGAACCGACGATCCCACTGAGTCAGCCAGTTGCCTACGCACTGTGCTAAGTTCGCCTTGTAAATTATTGTTGCTCTTTTTTCACTTTTTCCAATTTGTTAAGCCAACACAATCAAGCGCAACTATTCCGCTGTAATTCACACTTGATCATGTCGTTGTTGGTTTTGTTGGTTTTTGTTAATAGTTATATTTTTAGAATGTTTAACTTTTAGGTGTGCTCGTCCTTAAGTTATTTGTTTTTTTGTTATTTCATGGCCTTATAACAATTATATTCAACAATTTTATTGAAGCCTAGGCTAAAAACAACAACAAAAAAACAAAGAAATTTTCTAATATCTTTTTTTAATAATTTTCTTCACAAAAAATTATGAAAAAATTAACTGCTGCTTCCGTGGATATTGCAACACACAGGATACACGTTAAGGATACAGCTATAAGAGCCACCGCACACCAAAGACTTTATCGGCCGCCTATTTAAATAGTCCAGTGAAACCCGCACAAGTACCCCCCTTGTGAAAATTACATAATATTGCATTATCTGTTTTTTTAATAAAGTTTTCCTTTATGTGTTTACGTGTTTAAATAATGTTACGATCTTGGTTTAAAATGGTAAAATAGGACTTATTTGGGTATGTAAGTTAACAAGAAGATGTAACTACATCACAAATTATGTTCGCTTAAGTACCCACTTAAGTACCAGCATCGAGGTACTTAAACGGTTCTTTTAAGTAACCAACCCGCTTAAGTACCTCAAAAAGCTGACATTTTTCGAGATGTACATAAGCGGGCTTTACTGTAGTCGCTTGAATTATGCACATGAAGATGTATGGAGGTGCGCACACTACACCGACTTAATCGCTCCGACCGATTAGTTGTGATGCAATTAGGGATGTCGAAAAAACATGATGCATCGAAAATTTTCCACTCGATGTACCGATGCATCGATGTTTTTTGAAAACTGACACCTCTAGTACATTGAACCGTCATTCCAGTTTTTAAATTATAAAGAAAAGGGAAGTGACTTTGATCAAAAAATTTAAATGACTCCGAAAAGTTCCGTTAGAAACACAATTCGCTCAGTCGCAGTAAAATATTTAAAATTTTGTACAATTTTGCTAATAACATATTATGTTATGAAACATTATCCCAAAAATCCTATTCAAATCGATGCATCGATGTATGCCCCTTGATGCATCGAAATATATATCGAGATTTTTCGAATCAAAGAAAAACATCGATGTATTTTTGCCACTGACATCCCTAGATGCAATGGAAAGACTAAATCGGCGACCGATAAAGTCCGCGGAGTGCGATGCATCTATTTTCGTTTTTATGATTTTTATTCATGTTAGCAGTGGCATGAATGTATGTATTAAATACGTATATGTATATTAAAAATGAAGTGATCAGTTATGAAATATATAAATCTTTACATGTTCTGTTAAAAAATATCTAAAATAGCAAGCAGTAGCCACATTGCGTGTTTGTCACAGACACGGTTTAAGGCACAAATTTTGCAGTGAAACTACCTTCTAAAAGTTATTGTATCATGAGCTTTTACAAAATAAATTTATGGCATATATTTCAAAGACACTTTTCGCCATACATACTTATAAGGATGTATAAATTTAATTAACAAAAATCAATAGAAACGCTAACATAGTAGAATACGCTAAGTTTATTAATACCTCCATATTAGAGTACCCGTTTTTTATGTACTAAGGATATTTTGAATATAATTCCTTCTCTTTTGGTTAGGTGATTTAGGTTTAGTGGCACCTTCAGAATTAATAAAATTTATTTTATTTTTATCAATTATGTATACGTTCTTTAAATAACT